ATATATATATATGTTTTATTGTGTGTGTGTTTGTAAATAAATATATATACACACATATATATATTTTTTTATATAAGTAGTATATGTAAAAATTATATATAAAAGAGGTGGTTTTTTGGGGTCCTAGGCTGATCGAATATTTAGGGCCTAATTAAATGATCTTAATTAAAGGATCTTCCAATATGCTCTGTAATAAGTCTTTATGAAATTCTTGGAGCACCTTGATAACTACGAAAAAAGGTACTCACCTTAATTTTATGATATATTTTGATTAATTAATATATATATATATATATATATATATATATATATATATATATTATATATATATATATATATATATATATATATATATATATATATATATATATATATATATATATATATATATATTAGAGTGCGTCATTTTTCAACAATTTTTTCAAACTAAATCCCAACCACCTGGATTAGTTGACCGGTTGGATAAAAATGATTTTACGCTAAAAAATTTTTTTTGAAAGCCAATTCTAAGGTCTCCGATTTTACAAATTGTGCTCCAAAACCCCAACTTTTTTAACCAAAAAGCGGGGACCTTAAACATTGATATAAAACACCAAGTTTTTTTCTATGAACTCAAAAAGGCCTAAATTTTAATTTGGAATTGGTTGGGAAGTTTACAATAAAAAAATTTATACTAATTTAGGTCAAGAAAAATAGCTTAAAACGCACTAACTTAATATAATTTTTAAGTATATTTAAACAGAATGACACTTGCGATCGAATTTAACTCACGCGTGTCACAAACAAAAAAAATCTTTCTTTTTCGAACTATTTATTCTAAAAATATTAAAAAAGATTAAAAAACGAATTTGTGCCATACTTTTACTGTAGCTAAGAATATTTTTATTATTATAAACTGTAATTTATAACTTTTACTTTAAAGATAAAATAAAACGAAGATTTAAAAAAAATTAAAGATGCTACCAAAAATTACGAGATCACTTTCAAAGACATTTTTATTTGAAGAAAAAAAAGTGTTAGAAAAACTTTGTAAAACGCAGTTTGCCACAAATGAACAAGTGCAGCTAAATATCGAGAAGATATAATAAAAGTCAAAGTAAATTTCCAATAATTGCACACTTTGATGGAAAAATCTTGCATGATATTACTAACGGTTTGCTGTTCTTGTAAATATCGATGGTGATTTAAAACTTCTTGGCATTGCGCCAATGGAAAATTTTACTGGAAAATCTCATCATGATACATTTTGGATGAATATAAGCTAAGAACTTTTATAAAGGGTCTGTGCTTTGACACAACTTCAACTAATACAGGAAAATATCACAACATTAGGTTTTGTTTCTGCACAAACATTAGGTTTTGCCAAACACAGGGTTCAAATATATTACAGCTTGCATGTCGAAGACATATTTATGAGCTTCACTATTATGCTCCCGGATCAGTTTCCCATGCTGGCTTTATGGCAAAGTCTATATATTATCTTAAAATTCAAGTTTTAAGTAATCAGTTGCCCTACCGATTGACAGCTTGTTTACAAAAAGAAATCAGTAAAATGGCAGAATTTATTTCTATATTTTATACTGTGTGGTTTGTGCGTTTCTCTTTAGTTTCCTCTGCACCTTATCAAGATTTAAATGCGAACTGGCACATGGTTCAGTATAAACGTTGGGTGGATTCTTATGATCCAGGAGCTAATGATATACTATAGGGAATTGAAGAAGTATTGAAATCAATGGAGAGACATAAGTGGTATTTGGATCAAACCTTGATTCCATTATGTCTCGCAGATAAAGAACTCGAAGATAATGAGGAAAAAAAGTTGAAAAAGTTCTTTTCTTGCAACCTGTTCCTACTCACTATGAGAAGTTTGAAAATCCAATCCTTCTGAAAGATCTAGACTTCACCCGGGAGTTTGTATTTTTTGTAATTTTTGTTGTAATTTTTAATGTGTTTGTAATTTTTTTTAGGTAACTAATTAAAAATGTTGTATAATATGATAGCATTAATAAAAGATAAAGATGAAGAGTTAATCAAGCAATGTGAAAAGTTGGTCGAATTTTTAAAAGATGAACAGAAAAATGAGTATTCAATCGAAGATATAAAAAAAATAAAATCTTCTGTTTATAATAATTTGAATAGAGATCAAGATGATTATAAATACGATAAAAGTACTGTTAATCTATATTTGAAATTGTGTGTGAAGTTGATTATCAAGTGTAATAAATCTATCGATCGTTTGCAAAATAAAATAAAAACAGAAAAAGAGTACCAAAAGGAAATAAATAAATCGTTTATTGAATTTGTAACAAAAAAAGACGATTGGACATGTAGTGATGCTTAAAGCGAAAATTAGAAAACTGTGTATACGAATTCGATCATACAACAAAAACAGAACTAGTTGAAAAATTAAAAAGAAAAATACGTTATGAATTATTTGGTTTAATTACAAAAATTGACTTGTTATTAATTGTTCATTCTTAATCATTTTGTGAATTTTATTTTTAGAAAAAAAAATGATATTGATAAAAAAAAATATTATTGATAATTTGAGTTATAAAGATCAATATGAAAATTTTTTTAAATAATTTTTTTCATAAATAAATTACCTTTTTTTATTGACTTGAAAATGAGTGTTTTTTTCTGGCGGTCCTGTTTCTACTGTCTCTTTTATTATTTTTTCCTCTTGTTTCTTTTTATTGAGTGAATCCATAAATTCATCAATAGTTAAATCAATAGGGGTGAACTCCAACTCTTGATCATCAATAGTTAAATCAATAGGGGTGAACTCCAACTCTTGTTTTTCTTTATAAGCTTTGTAATTGCCATTTATTTTTGTTATAAAAAAATGCAGCTTTTATGCAAAAATATTTAATCCTTACAGATTAAGTAAAATAAAAGATTTTTATGACAAACAAGTTATATTTAGAAATTTTTAATTATGCTTTTTACGAAGGGAATTTTTTAATTAAAAAATGTGCGTAAACAACTATTAAAAAACTCTGTTGGGGAAGTGAAAGAAACAAAACGCCAGGTAAATAAATACGAGCAATTGCTTTTACTCAGTAATTGGTCAGCTTTACGTGAATAAAAACATTAGCAGTTTTGCTCAAATTTTTACTTAGTAATTGTTTGTCTTTACTTAAATAAAAACTTAGGAAAAATTTTTTAGCTTTTATTCACGTAAAACTGACCAATTACTGAGTAAAAGCATGTGCTCGTTTTTATTCACCCGGCCTAAACTCTCCGCCGCCCACCACCTATGTAAGAAATTATTTTCCCTATAGGGGTCCCAATGTTAGAAATTAATTTTAAAATTGAATTTTTGATCAAATTAATCATTGTAAACAACAATTTGATAAAATTTGTCACGGAAAGTTTGAGTGATAAAAAAATTGGTCAATATATCCATAAAATTACCTAAAATTAGAACGTTTCGCCCATTTTTCCAATCTCAAACTAATACACTTTTTAAAAAGTTGTTAGTAAAGTATGGCACGAATTCGTTTTTAAATCTTTTCTAATTTTTTTAGAATAAATAGTTTGAAAAAGAAAGATTGTTTTTGTGTGACACACGCGAGTTAAATTCGATCGCAAGTGTCATTCTATTCAAATATACTTAAAAATTATACTAAGTTAGTGCGTTTTAAGCTATTTTTCTTGACCTAAATTAGTATATACTTTTTTATTGTAAAATTTCCAACCAATTCCAAATTAATATTTAGGCTTTTTAGAGTTCATAGAAAAAAACTTGGTGTTTTATGTTAATGTTTAAGGTCCCCGCTTTTTGGTTAAAAAAGTTGGGGTTTTGGGGCACAAATTGTAAAAGCGGGGACCTTAAAAATGGCTTTCAAAAATTTTTTTTTAGCGTAAAATCATTTTTATCCAACTGGTCAACTAATCCAGGTGGTTGGGATTTAGTTTGAAAAATTGTTGAAAAATGACGCACTCTATAGAGTGCGTCATTTTTATATATATATATATATATATATATATATATATATATATATATATATATATATATATATATATATATATATATATATATATAAAAAGTGCGTCATTATTATTATATATATATATATATATATATATATATATATATATATATATATATATATATATATATATATATATATTAGCTAATATATATATATATATATATATATATATATATATATGTATATATATATATACATATATATATATATATATATATATATATATATATATATATATATATATATATATATATATATATATATATATATATATATATATATATATATATATATATATATAAGGCCGGCGGGATAGGGTGTGTGGAGGGGTGTGACACCCCTTAATCAATGATTTTTAGTCGGCAAATTGGACCCAAATTTGGCTAGTTAGTCGGCAAATGTAGACCCTATCAATAGATTAGTCGGTAAATTTAGATAGTCAGTCGGCAAATTTTCAAAAGCGTGGACCTTTTTTTTTTCCGGGAAAAGTTGTAATGACTCCCCCCGCCCCCCACGTAACACCTACTCGCTCCGGCCCTATATATATATATATATATATATATATATATATATATATATATATATATATATATATATATATATATATATATATATATATATATATATATATATATATACATATATATATATATATATATATATATATATATATATATATATATATATATATATATATATATATATATATATATATATATATATATATATGTATATATATGTATATATATATATATATATATTAATTAATATAAATCTATATATATATATATATATATATATATATATATATATATATATATATATATATATTAATTAATCTAAATATATCATAAAGTTAATGCGAGTGCCTTTTTTCGTGGTTATCAAGGTGCTTCAAGAATTTCATAAGGACTTGTTACAGAGCATATCGGAAGATCATTTAATTAGGAAGTTCATGCTACTTTAGCTATTATTTCATATAAAATATAAACAGAATTAAAAAAGTAATAAAATTTTCTTACTTTTTACTGTTACTTAGCCTGATCCACGCAAACCATTTTAAGCCAAAACTTTGAAATTCTCCATGCAACAATGAATTGGTAAATACAAATGCAAATACGTTAACAAGAATATAACCAACTTTAACGACAATATTGAGTGCAATTTTTGAATGCTGTCTTGCGAGTGTGTTTACATTACGATTAAAATAAATTCGAATAACTTCGTCAAATTTTGGTTGTTGAGGTTTGATTGCGTTTTTTAACGATAAAAGATCGCTATTCACATATCGGAATAGTAAATACGGAAGATAAAAAGACAAAGCAAGAATTCCAAGAAAGAATGGAAACCATTGAAATTGAAGATAGAAAAGTTTAGTCATTGGCTTACATCGCTTCGATAGGCCACCTAATGCCACGCATGTTTCGTTACTCAATGTTGTTCCATTGTGGTTCATGTCAATTGGTACACCATAATAGCCAAAAAAGTTGCTCTTTGTTTTTAGCTCTTTATAGATGTAAAATCCTACAAAACATTTGTAAAAAAAAAAAAAAAAAAAAAAAAAAGAAAATCACGATAACTGAACAAAACGATTTTATAACTGAACAAAACAAAAGCAAACAAATTTTTTCTTAATACTCTTGTTTTTTTGTAATCCCTATTTTGGGTATATTTTAAATTTAGAAATTTTTCCATATTAAAAAAAAAAAAAAATACAATTTCTATTTTTTTTTATGTCAACAAATACTGTTAAACTCCTGCTAATTAATTAAACAATTCGAATTGCTTTTTTTTTATTCGCATTAAATCATTTAATTAATTTCTTATAAAATGTTTCGGTTAAGTCAAATCATTTTTGTGCCCTTTTTCGGGGATATTTCTTCAAATAACTCAAACTTTTTGTAAGAATAATTTATTATAAATAATTATTAGCAAATTGTGTTTGGTTAACGCCCAAGAAAAGTAATGTGGTACTTATGATTCAAGAGTTAATCAGTTATAATTAAAATATTTTTAGCACCCCTTAGGTTTATTAGCACCCTATAAAGAGGACTCATGTTTGAATCTAAAAAGACATCTACATCTTTTATAAAATGTTGTATGGTTTTAAACTTACCGTTAATCCAGCACGCTTGTGAAGAAAATAATTTTATGTGATCGTTTGGCGTTTTCGGAGCAAGACATTTAATTTCATCCTTGTACCTAAGTGTAAAAAAATGAAGTATATATTAATACAATAGCAAGCATTTATAACGTTTATTTCCATTTTTTTTAATGATTTTTTACTTTTATTCACCTGGCCTAATAAATTAAAACTTTTCAACAAGATTTGACAAAACTATTTCTTTTAAACAAACTGTTTTTAACAAAACTATTTCTCTTAAACTGTTTCTTATACAGGGTGGCATAAGCAACATCATGAATTAATGAATGAATACATTTTTTGATTAAGTATACTTTTTTTTTTCCCATGTCAATTATAAAAAACTTGGAAAATTTATGGTAGAAAGACTCTGCACAGAACAAAGAAGTTGTTTAATTTTATTTTGAAAGTTCATTCGATAATTTAGACACAAAGATCGAAATTTCTTTCATGGTCAAAACGCACCAAGCGCTCCAACAATTTACAAATTGGCTCAGCATTTTCAGCAACAAAGGTCTCTCAGTAATCTTCCGCGTACTGGTAAACCTCATGCAGTTCGAAATTATGTGAACATTGCTTGGGTGCAAGCAAGTATTGAGGAAAACCCCAAAACTTCTACCAGGCAATGTTCTAAGCAGTTGGCAATTTCTAGGCGGTCTTTACAATGAGTTTTGCACGAGTTACACCTTTTCCCATATATGATTCAATTGGCTCTCAAGTTAAAACCAAATGATGCACAAATACGCATTCAATTATAGTCGAAGTTTTTTTTCGAATTGTGCCTTGAAAACAACGAGTTTATACACAAACTCATAATGAGCGATGAAACCCATTTTTACCTTAATAGCAACGCTAATAAACATAATTGCAGAAAATGGGGCACCCTTAATCCAAGAATAATTATTGAACAACAAATGCATCCATTTAGATGCACAGCATGGTGTGGAATAACTTCAGAAAGGATTATTGGACTATACCTTTTCAAAAACAACGAACAAGTTACAGTTAATATGAATGGCATTCAATATAAGGTCACAATTGAAACTTTTTTAAAGACAGAGTCAGAGAACAATTCAGTATTGCGGTTCCGACAAGATGAAGCCGTAGGTCAAACAGCTCGTCCAACTATGGCTCTACAGCGTGAAACTTTTGGCGATCGAATAATATCCCGTTTTTCTGATTTTAACTAACTTAAACGTTAGGTCGAAGGAAGCAACGGACACCATTTGAAAGATATAGTTTCCGAAACATAGTTTGAACATATTTCCAAACTATAATCTAAATTTTTATAAATTCTAACGTTAGATAAAATCAGAAATAAAATAAGTTATCAATAAAATAAATCATAACATTACTTACGCGTCACCCTGTACAAAAAAGTTTATGAAGCTAAAGAAATTAACATAGGAAATCAAAAATAAAAGTTATATATAGGTATGTTATATATAGTTTTATTTAAAAATTAAAAAAAATTAACTTCATTTTTATATGTTAATTTATTTTACAGTGATGTAATAACGTCCATTGCATGCCCAGCGGTGTAAAAACAACAAGCAAGACATCAATAGTTCCGCAGACGTGAATGAAGAAATAAGAAAATTATATTAATAAATTTTAAATTTATGTTGTATAGATGGGCGCTGGCATTTTTTTTTATGTTTCAGATAGTACACTTTAACACATTGTGCACACATCAAACGTAAGTATGTTCATACCTATGCCAAATAAAGAGGCCTTGCAAAAATTTGGGATGGTGGAATAAAAAAACTCTAATACTGTCTGGCCCTGGTCTCAATCTATATATGTATATTCTTTAAAACTTTATAGTCTTATTTTTTGCATAATACAACATTATTATATTTTTTATTGTAAATACTATAATAATTTTATTATTATATATAAGCATCAATTAAAAAACAAAACAAAAACAAAAAAAAGTCATGTCACCGGTCGCCGGTTAATAATAAAAAAAGTCTGGTAACTATTATTATTTCTTCAAAATTAAATTTTCTATATAATGTAAAAAGTCATAAGTTATAGTTATGGGGTTAAATGAAATACGCTAATCGTAAACTTGATAAATAAGATTTTTATCTGTTATTTATATCTAAACTGAGCCATAAGTTCTTTAAGGTTTTAAATCGATTATTATTAAATCAATTCTAATACAAGAATTACTTATCTTTCACTCATCTGAAAAAAATTCATATTTTAATTGAAGGTGGACAATTGACACATATTACTTATAAGTATATTGCCATAAGTTTTATTGCGTCAAAAAATGCAGCACACTCAGCGTGTGCTTTTCTCTCATAGCAATTATTTTTCTCTCATATCAATTTTTTAGATTAGTTTTCTCTCATAGCTTTACTTTCATAATCTCTTAAAGATAAGGTTTCAGCTTTTATATAACTGCTGCACTAAAGTAATTAGTTAAATTCTTAAACTCGTAGATTTTAAATTACCGAATATTTGTAAACAACATAAAACAACGAGCTTCGTGATTTTTTTAAATAAACCAATCAAAACGCACACAAAATAAAACGGCGTTTTTTGAAAATGAAAGGCTATATTTCAGCCGTTTAACCGTTTTACAACCCAACATCATCGAAAAAAAGAAAAAAAAAATTTTATTAGTTAGTTGTCTCTCTCAGTTACTGTTAAAATTGTTTCAGTTTTAAGTATGAGTTGCTAAACTGGATTACAAAATGAATCTCAAAGTGTTTGTATTATTAACTCTTATCTAAACATATAATAAACTATATAAGGACTTATTTTATTTAAAGTTTATATATACAGTTTTCTGGATTGTGGGTCGCTGTGGCATAAAGCTGTCTATAAACGACTGCAACTTATCTCACCCGAGAAAAGACGGTACGATATCAACCTTGATAATACTTTAAAACAATTTTAGAATGGTCAAATAATATTATGTGGACCAATATATCTACCAAAACAATTTTCATCTACGCTATCGAAAGAACCGGTTACCTGGACATTCTCATTGATTGAACTTTGATACTTCCACTAATCTATCAATTCAATCCAAGGTATTGACATAATTTTGTTTTCCGATATAAAATTTTTGAATTACTGTTCTTTTGTTTCTTTATAGTCAAAATAAATTATTGTGTTTACTTACTTTTAAAATCCTCAATCAGAAATGTATCTCAACTTTAGATAAGAGCCTACCTCTATTAGACCAACTTTAAAATCATTTGCCCGAGTGTAAAAATTGTAAAATATATACGTCAAATAGAAAAGGTCCAATTGTTATACAAAAAAAGTTTGTAAAAGATGTTGTATTCCTTAAAAAGATGTCGTAATCCTTAAAAAGATGTCGTAATCCTTAAAGAGATGTCGTAAATTTTAAATTGTACAATATTCAGAACAAATTTACATAAGAGTAATTTACATGTTACCTGCATTACCTTTTTGCATTTTGTCTTTAAATGCAAATAAATTGAATAATAATTATTGACTTGCAAATTTTATTCTCATGAAATAGTATTATTTTCACTTGATAAAATTCTATATATGGTTTGTATATATTTAAATGACCAACAACTTAAAATAAAAAATTAAAAAAATCTTTTTCCTGTAAAAATTAAAATAAAATTTTTAAATTTTTAATTTCATTTGACTTTTTATTAATCTACGGTTTGTTTATTAAAATATTTGTTTAAGTTTTATTTGTTTTATTAAATAATATTTGTTTAAGTTTACGTTCATATTACAAAAGTCCTTAAGGGCCATCCATAAAGGACATCAGCATTTTTTAGCCAATTTTTGACCCCCTCCCCCCCTTTGTCACCAGTTATCCTTTTTCACTATACTCCCCTGAAAAAGGACGTCATAAAATCCTGACCCCCTCCCTATTTTTAACTCCAAAAAAATTTATTTCATCTTGCAATCATGTTTGAACCTGCTGCTACACCTTTGAAAAATAAAATTAAAAATATTCTCATACATTATCTTCTCAAAAACACATGTTTACGTAGTTTTCCATGTTAATTAAACTAAAATAAAAAATCTATAAAGTGACATCCTTTTCTGACAACCTCCCCCCTTCCCTTGTCCTTTTTTGTCATTTTTAACTCGAACCCCACTCCCCCTATAATGAATGACGTCCTTTATGGATGGCCCCTTATATATATATATAATATATATATATATATATATATATATATATATATATATATATATATATATATATATATATATATATATATATATATATATATATATATATATATATATATTAAGATTAGGGGGAGTTTCTGCAATTCTGAAACATCTTTTTTTTTTTTCTTTTTTTTACTTTTACTAAAGTTTCTAAAAAACTATATTTACAACATTTCCTTTATATTACTTTGATACATTATAAACTAAATTTAGAAACTATTTACATATCTCTTTCTTTATTATTACTCTTTAGTATCTATGACATTCCATCATCACAGAACATGAAACAAACCAAGCATTAAAATATAACAAAAATGTTTTAGTAATATATTTGAAAAAAATAATTTTTTTATTTACCAGCTCATTCCAGTCAAAAATGCACCAATAAGCATTATTTTCATCATCAATACTCGATTAAACTGATCTGTTATCGAGTCGTTTCTTGACTTGTACTTAAAATTTATTAACTTTTTGATATCGTTGGTAATAGTTGACATTTCTTTTTTTAATTTTTATTTAAGTTAAATTGTGAATTCTCAATAAAAATAAAATTTAAAATAAAAAGAGTTTATAATTTAGCAAGATTTTACATTGACATTAAATTGCTTTTATATTAAGATAATCCGTTTTTCAAGACACGCAGACAACTAAACAAATTTAAGCAATACGATAATAAAATAACAAGTAACTTCTCTATTCTGCACTTGAATAAAAGCATAAGCTTCAGCTTCCATTAAATCCTTTGTTGCATTAAAACAAAGAGCAGAAATAAAGAAAAAAATTTGTTGCCTTTAAAGTTATAAATCTTATATTAAGTTTAAATTGGATTGAATCTTTTTAACTAATATTCAACAGGTTAAATACGCAAATAAATGCGCATTTAACATTTCATTGGTTTTAAATCGGATACATTTCTTATAACAGTATTTTTACTGAAGCTTATGTTAAAATGTTTGCCTCACATACCCTAAATGTGAGAGCAACGAGTCAATAACTTTTTTTTTGTATAAATTTGGTATTTTATACCAAACGTAGATTCATTGAAAGGTTTTTAACTTCGTCTAAAAATCTTTTAGTGTTTGAAAGTATGACAATGTAAAGTTTCCATCGAATTGAGAAATTTCCTTCCAAAAATCTGGAAGTTGTAAATTTTACATGGTTTGCAAACTGCACAGTGCCTCAAAATGTCGTATCTAAAACACAGAAAGATCTTTTCGCCAACTCGGTACGCGTGGTTACGGACTGTTTTTACAAAATTTTTACAATATCACTTATTTTTATAATATTTATTATATGACAAAATGTTGTCGTTCGAAAATATTTTAAGTATTTATAATATGAAAAAATCGTTCTAATAGACATAATGAGTAGTATTAAAAACAAACAAATGAATAGTAAACAAACAAACATTTAAACTTTGAATAAATAATGAAATGTTCAATGCTTAGACTCCATTTTCAACCTCAATTTTTAATAGAAAATGTTGCTTTTTTCATAAAGTTGTAGAATTAGAAAATACTTTTGATTTGCTATAAGTGACGTCTTTTAAATATTCGAATAAACTATTTAATTTTGATTTATAACCAAATTATTCACGTAATTAGTAGAAAAGAATCATAAAAAATAAGATTTTTTCATAATAAATTACTTTTTGATAAGCCCCTCGTTTCTATTACTTAATATAAGTTACACACGAACATTGGAAAGTATGTCAAGTATCGACAATTTTGAAACAAACAGATACGATTTTTTTTAACGTTTCGTGCAATTTCAAATATTCAAAGATTTTAATTTTACTAATATTTTTAACAGAATAATATATTTTAGAAGAAGCTATCTTGATCAGATTCGTTGAAAAATTGTTGAATATTTTGAGTGGAACCCGATAAAATAAAAATTTTGCTTTTCGAATCTTTTTACATATGTCTTAACACATCAAGTGGTCGTATCTTTATCTAAGAAAAAAACAGCTTTTACTTGTACCAAATCTTATTGTAAGAAAATGAGTTTTGATATCTCATAACAATAATAAAAATAATAATGCAAATTACTAGTGAATTAATCAATAATTATTTTAATTAATCAATCAATTATCTTGATATCTAAAACCCATTTTTTGGTAATAAATCACAAAATAAATCACATTAATTATTTGTACCCACATTAAATTATTTAAAAAGGCAGAAATTATTTACCACTTTAATAAAAAATTTAAAACTCGTAGCGTAGCCTAGTTTTTTACGGATAGATAGATATAAAGATAAAATTTATTAGAACAAAGTTAAGATTACATGTTCTAAAGGACATACAGGTCCAAAAAATGGACACTGACAGTATGTCCCTAAATAAGTATAAAAACAATGTACACAATAAACAAATATAGTTAATGATATAAACATTAATGATTTTATTCATTCATGTACTTTATAGAATCAGTGTTTTTCGAAATTGGAGGATTTTATTTTGTTTTTTAACATACATATGTTTTCTGCGTTTAAAAGTTCTGATATCAGATTGTTCAAGGTATTACCAACTCGTTGAGAAAAACGATATTTGCGAATATTGAGTTTACATCGTTGCTTGCGAATCTTATAAGTGTGACCGCGAGTATATTTATTATTGTTAACCTCAAAAAAAGAAATTTTATCTATACAAATCAAATTACGCATAACTTTGAAACATATAACTAAATCATGTCTGAGCTTAGGAGAATCAACCAAGCAGCTGTAAACAACTATAATAGCTCAAACAACTAAGATTTTTAGCGAATCGTTTTTGAGTAATAGACTTTATCAACATAGTTTGGTGTGGCAACCAAATTAGAGAGTAACATTCGATAATTGGTCTTATATAAGTAGTAAATGCACGCACAAAGATACTAGAATTATGAGTTTTAAAACATTTTAATATTAAGTATGCTCTAGTGTTTGCCACATGAATGATTCTAGTAATGTGTTTTTTTTTTAGTTTAGGCTAAAGTCTATTGTTATTTTAAGAATTTTTTAGTTAGATGACCGATCTATAATATAATTATTTAATTTGTAGCTAAAACTAGTATTCTGATGCATTGGAGCAAGTTCTAACGTCCAAAGCACTTCTTGCTGGTAGTTAGCAATCAAGTGATTCATAATATAATGTGAGCTGTATAACTTTAAGTCATCAGCATAAAACTAAATTTTACATTCAAGATTGTTTACTACAGATGATAAGTCATTAAGAAATAATAAAAATAAAGTTGGTCCCAGCACACTATTATGAGGTGCACCGCTAACAATTTGAATCGAATCTGATAAAGAACTAATAATCTTAACTTGTTGAGATCTTTCTGTAAGAAATGCAGCAATCCACTTTAAAAGATTGCCACGTCTATTGTATAATGAAAATTTTAATACTTGTTTTGAATGAGATATAGAATCAAACGCCTTTAAGAAGTCAATATATATAATATCTGCCATCAGATGATTGTGAACTAAGATACTCCAATCGTTAGTAGATTCTAAACGATTTGTGCACGTACTTATGTATAAATATAAGAAAAAAATAATTATCTGCGTTCAAATACTGCAGTTATTCAAATAGAACAAGATTCCATTTTCAATTTTTTTAATTGTGATTGGGTTACTATAGAATTAATTAAGAATTAAAGTATATAAGACTTTAAATTTTTAATGTAAACAAAATAATCTAGTTAGATTATTTCTATTATTATAACTATATATATCACTATTTTCTTTTAATTTTTTTTTTTCAATGCCCCATAAAAGTTCTTACGGTCTTATCACAGAGCACAGCGGAAAAGTATTTGAAAGAAAGTTCACGACTCATCCTTTACCTATTTTATAAAACTTGCCCAGATGAACCACAGATCTCTAGCTTATGAGGCAAGCGCGCTAACCACTGCTCTACGGCTGCTCAGTAATTATAACTTGCTATATTTAAGGCGAGTAATCTTAACTATACTTGTATATTTATAGTATAAATAAATTTTATTCGCAAAACGAGTAATTTAAGCTTTACTTGTTTTTAAATAGTACACCATAATTTTATTATTTATATTTTAATATTTGTAATAAACGCTTTATAATGAATGTACGCCGCAGCTTACCGGGGCCTAGTGATAAAACAAATATTGTCTTGTTTTGCCCTGGTCATGTAATTATTATTTATATTACATGAAATTGTATGTATTTTTTTTACTAACAACCAATAAGTTAAAAGAGTTTATAATTTTTATGTCTTATTTCCGAAAGGGAATTGAGACGAAAAATGGGTTTTCAACAGTAGCGGAGCGAAGGACTCCCTAGGGGACCGTGGGAGACTAAGAATTTTAGGAATCCAAGTGGACCAACAAAAAAATAAAAAAGGTGTCACTATAAAAAGTAATATGCATATCAACATTTAACAATTATAATGTAGTTAAAAGATGCAGACTCCTTTTCAAACTATTAGTTTAGCATTTTTTTTTGTTATTTAGGTGCCCCAAGAAGACCTAAATGTCTTGTCACAGAACACAGCGGAAGTGTATTTAACCAGTTGACGCCTCCTTCCTTACCGTGACGCAAAATTTTGTCCAGAGTTCGTTTCGAACCTGGAACTCCTGCTTGTAAAGCAAGCACTCTAACCACTGCGCCACAGCCACCGCTTTAATATATAATAATCTTGAATAATATTACAAATAGTATTTTTGTTTACTTATATCTAAAAAATATTAAAGCACATTAATGCAATTTAAACTAGATTAATTCATAAATAATAAAATAATATAAATTTATTAAGTTAATAATAATATAAATTTATTAAGCAAATATGCTGTTGTAAGGTTTTGATAAAAAGGTATTTAAGCCATTTCAATAACAAAGCTATTTTTAAAACTGCAATGACTTTGCAATTAGCGAACTTAATTTTCTCAACGGTAAAAAAACTTTCAAAATGGAAATAAAGTTAGGGACAGTATTTGAAATTTTCTCAAGCTGTTAACAATAACAGAGCATTTATAAAATGGGAAAATGCGTGAATTTTCAACGGTAAAGTACGTAAATTTGGTTAGGGGTTTGTGGATTGAGTAAATATATTGGTTAATTTAGGGGAAACATAGGTAAAAAATAATTCTCACGAAATGTCCACGATAACATATTGAAATATAAGTTGCTTATTTACTGATATAATTGCATACTTAAACAATATTTGAAATTATTTGCGTGGCAATCGCAAAAAGATCTTTCAGCACATTGAAAAGGATTAAAACACATTTAAGGGCAACGATAGCGCAAGACCTTTTTTTTGCGCTGAGCCTAGAAGCTATTGAAACAGAAGAAGCAGCTTAATTAAATTTAAATGATGTTATAGGCCGATTTGAAGCTATGATGGCAAGAAAAAAATACATATTAGATTTGCAACATATTACGCTTGCATGCTGTAAGACACTGGTTTCTATGTCGTTAAATTAAAATCGCGTACTAAAAAAAGGTTTTTGCTTTTTTGCACATATATTTTAGTCAAGAAGCGTGGAGAACAGAAAAGTAATTTCGGGGCCTAGATTAAAGTTTTACAAGATAAATGGGTATTTTTTGTTGCTAGGTTACTGATTTTCAGTATACGTAACTTAATACCTCATAGGCTCAATCGATT